TCTGACAAAGATGACACTAAAGAACAGTGGAGAAAGGAGTGTTTTTTAATTAATGATGTTAATCAATTTGACATTCATATGAAGCAAAATGAAGTTTGAACCAAAAATGGTGGCACACACCTATAATCTCAGCAACTCAGGAGGCTGAAGCAGGAGGATCACAAGTTCAAAGGCAGCTTCAGCTACTTAACAAGACCCTGTGTCAAAATTAAAAAAATTAAAAGGGCTGGGAATGTGGCTCAGTAGTTTAAGTGGTCCTGGGTTCAATCCCCAGTACAAAAAAAAAAAAAATGAATTTTGATTCCTTTTAGATACTGTTCACACAAAATTTATTTCAGGTAGATTAGAAATCTTATAGTGATAGTACAAATATTTGGTATATACCACAGGATATTATCTTCATAACCTGGAAAGTAAAGAAAGATTTCTTTCTTTTTTTTTCTTTATGTTACTGGGAATTGAACCCAGAAGCGCTTTACCACTGAGCTACACCCCAGCCCTTTTTATGTTGGAGTGAAACAGGATCTCACTAAATTGCCAAAGCTGGCTTCAAAACTGCAATTCTTCTGCCTCAGCCTCCCAAGTAGCTGAGATTACCACACCCATCAGGAAAAATTTCTTAAGGAAAGTAACCATATTGAGAAGTGATCAGTAAACTGAACCATATTAATACCAATACTCTATTCATCAAAAAACCAATAAGAAAGTAAAAAAGCAAACCAGAATTGTCCAAGACATCTGTCATATATAAAAACTGGGGATGAAAAGAGTTCATTTCCAGAAAATAGAAAAAACAGAAAAGTCAAATGTGCATGCAACTCAAAAAGGTACAAAACAGCAATGGATGTGTAATTTGTCATTAGAGCGCTTGCCTACCATGTGTGAGGTCCTGGGTTCAATCTCCAGTACCTCAAAAAAAAAAAAAAAAAAGTACATAACAAAAAAGAAAAAACTCAATGTCCAATAAACTTATTAAAAAGGAATGCAATTTAATTGGGAAATGCAAATTTAAATCATATTACTACTCAAGAGAAGCTAAAATTCAAAAGTCACTGTTGGCAGGAGTATAAGCTGATGATACACCAGTCCTTAGGAATACTATCTTGTATAATGTCCTAAAGGTTAACCAATAAGCATTATTCTGTGATCCAGCAAATGCTATCCTAGATCTACACTGAAATAAATGCATGCACCAAAATACACACATGAGAATGTTTCATTCATAATAATCCTAAACTGGAAATAACCTAATTGTCCTTTTTTTTTTTTTTTGGTGCCAGGGATTGAACCCAAGGGTGCTTAATCTCTGAGCCACATCCCTAGTCCTTTATTTTTATTTAGAGACAGGGTCTCACTTAAGTTGCTTAAGGCTTCATCAAATTGATGAGAGTGGCTATGAACTTTCGATCCTCTTGCCTGAGTCTCCTGAGCTGCTGGGATTATAGGTGTGTTCCACCATGACTGGAAAATACCAATCAAATAATTAATAAATTGGTACATATTCACTTAGAAAATATTATACACCAAGGAAAATAAACAAATTAGAAGAATATGCAATAATATGAATGAGTCTCAAAAAGATAATCTCATATAAAAGAAGTTAGACAGAAAATATACCATACAATTCCATTGATATGTTCAAAAAACAGACCCAAGCTATTTACAGTATTAGAAGTGAAAATAATGGTTATCTTTGGGCAGGGTAATATTTGGAAGGAAGTAGTTAATTGACAAAAGATGACTTCTACAGAACTCATAATGTATTGTTTTTCATTTTGGGTGCTGGTTACAAAAATATATCTACTTTATAAATAATTTACTGACTTGTATTTTTACATTTCCTTATATGACTATTAAGTAATGTATTATTTTACTTTATGAATAAGATTGAAAAGAATCTCTAAATTAGTCATATTATACTATAAAACAAGATAATATGCAGCAAAGAATATCAAAATCTCCTCTTTAAAAGCATGCAAGGCACTGGGTTCAATCCTCAGCACAACATAAAATAAGTAAATAAATAAAGGTATCGTGTCCATCCACAACTAAAAAAAAAAAATTTTAAAAAAGGTTCATACACAAAAGTATTCATTTTAGAGCTGTGCTAGCCAATAAAGTAGCTACTAGTCATTTAACACATGCAGTTTTTAAATTTTAATTTTCATTAATTAACATTAATTAGTGCAGATTGCACTAGGAACATTTTAAGTGCTCACTAGCCACAAGTGTCTAGTGACTACTGTATTGGATGACACAGATAACCTTCCATCTGGCTGGAAATGTAGTTTGGTGGTAAAGCACTAGCCAAGCATGTACCAGGCCCTGGGTTCTCCAGCAACACACACACAAAAGAAAACTTTCTATCACTGTCAAAAGTTCTAATAGATAGCTTTTATAGAAAAATAAGTATATTAATATTATACTCATTTTATTGTACTAACTCATTATTCACTTAAATAACCATATCTTATTTTTAAAAATATTTCTTTTACTCTCTAACCCAATATCTTGACATAAAAATGTTCAGTGGGAATTCATATATTTATATGTGTGTGTATGTGTATATATATACACACACACACATATATATATACATATAAATTGTAATTGGACACAATACCTTCATTTTATTCATTTTTTACATGTTACTAAGGATTGAACCCAACGCCTCACACGTGCTAGGCGAGTGCTCTACCGCTGAGCCACAACCCCAGCTCCACTGGGAATCCTTATAAAAATAAAAGTATAACACATAGATCCTGACATTTTATTTAGGACTTAAAACACAGTTAATATTTAAATCCTTCCACATGGGAAAGCTAATAACTCATTGTGTGCTATGTGTGTGTGTGTGTGTGTGTGTGTGTGTGTGTATGTTTTACTGGTGATCCAACCCAGGGTTTTTTTTATTCTAGGTAAACACTCTACCACTGAGCTATACTCCCAACTCTTTTTACTTTTTATTTTGTGACAGGTTTCACTAAGTTGCCAGAAATGGCCTTGAACTTATGATCCTCCTGACTTACCCTTCCAAGTAGCCAGGATTACAGGCATGTGCCACTATCCCAACCCCATTGTATCTTTCTATATAAAACTATGACAATAATTTTCAAACTAACTTCTAACAACCAGAGCTGTAGTAGAAAATAGTCATCTAGAAGATAGTGACATTACCTATTTAATAAATGACAGTACCTCAATTTTATTTAAAAATCAAAGACAAATGAGCCAATACATACAATTGAAATTTTGGTAGGGGGGGGGGGGGGTTACCAGGGATTAAACGCAAGGGCACTCAACCACTGAGCCACAGCCCCAGTCCTCTTTTATTTGGATACAGGTCTCACAGAGTTGCTTAGTTGCTGAGGCTGGCTTTAAACTCATGATCCTCCTGCCTCAGGCTCCCAAGCAGCTGAGAACTGCACCCAGCCAAACTGAAAATTTTTATGAAAATCATTCTTTTGTTTGGTACCGGGGATTGAACCCAGGGGTGCTTGACCACTGAGCCACATTCCCAGCCCTTTTTAAATATTTTATTTAAAAGACAGAGCCTTGCTAAGTTGCTGAGGCTGGCTTTCAACCTGCAATTCTCCTGCCTCAGCATCCTGAGCAGCTGGGATTACAGGATCCACCTGAAAATCATTCTTATGAAGTTAACCTTAGCAAAGAAAACATATAAACAATTTAAACTATTTTCTCACCAGTCCACTTTAATCTTATATAATACTCTCTCTAAATATGAAAATACATGTTTTTCTTATCGACTGAAGCACTGATCAGGTCACCCTAGTAAATTTTTATTCTAGTTTAGTATTTATAATGGACTGGTTATTTCCAGTCATAAGTGTTAAAAAATTTTAATTGAGTACTAGACGTTATGTGAATAATACTGACTTATTCATATATTTACTAAAAACATTTTTCTGCTAAAACTGTAAATAACATTTCAAATTAAATTCATTATACAAAAAATAAACTGAAAAGTGATGTACTAGTTAGTTACCTAGGCACTCCACTTATAAAAAGTAATCAAGTCATATGCCTAAGAATACTTGTGCTTTCCTATGGCATATTATATCCAATAAGGTGGTTTTTTTCTTTTTAATTTTAAAATACAGATTCAGAGAAAGCTGCAATAATATGTTCTGGATATCCTTTATCCAGTTTCTTCCAATTTTTGTATCCTTCATAAATATAGGGCAATATAAGAGGAAACTAACCTTGGTACTATGCATGTATATATTTTATGCCATTAGTCACATGTAAATTTGTGAAATTACCATCACATTTGAACTGCAGAACTATTTGTCTACATGTATGTTAATGTTGATTCATGTGTTTGTATATTTTCTAAATGGTACTGACTGAAAACAGGCACTTACAAAATAAGGTGAATGGCATAACTGCACAGAAGTGACAGAAGAATTTGAATACCTATGTTTATGAACATATTATATATTTTTTAAATCTAAAAGATATATAACTAAATACTGAGAACATGATGAGATAAGGAGAATTTTTCACTTTTCTAATTATACATCTCTGCATTGTTTAGATTTTCTAAAATAATGCATTACTTTTTTTGGTATCAGGGATTAAACCCAGGGGCACTTAACCACTAAGCCACATCCCTAGCCCCTTTTTAAATTCTGAAGTAGGGTCTCACTAAATTGTTGAGGCTGGACACAAACTTGCAATCCTCCTTCCTCAGCCTCTTGAGTTGCTGAGATTACAGGGATGTGTCACTATGTGTGGCTAGAATGTATTGCATTTTTATAAGCAACAAAAACAATAAAGACCTTCCATTTGGGGGGCAAAGCAGCTTTCTGTAACGTAAACAATAATCTCCTATTGTTCTGTTTAGAAATTTTTTTTTCCTAAAATATATCATGGTTTTTCCTAAAACAGAAAACACACAGTCCTCTCTTTATTCCTACTGGCTCCACCACATACTAGCTGCCTTTCAAACATAATAATAACCTTTTTTTTTTACATACCTGGTGGAGGAATCATCATCCTACGATCCTGTTCCCATGGAGGTGACAAGGACCCAGTATCAGAAGGTGCTCTATGAGGATCAGTTAACCTATCATAGCTTGATTCTCCCCTTTCATTGCTAAACTGATGGTCCAGAGGATTCTCTGGGCCTCTTGAGCCTAATTAAAGGAAAAAAGCATACAAATCTGTTTTATCTTAAAAATGGCATAAGACTTATCAATAAATAAAATTAAGATACTCTAAAAGGTGAATACAGATTCTAATTAAGTTTCTATAAGATACATTTATTTATTTATTTAATATTTATTTTTTAGTTTTTGGCGGACACAACATCTTTGTTTTTTTTGTATGTGGTGCTGAGGATTGAACCCGGGACGCACGCATGCCAGGCGAGCGCGCTACCACTTGAGCCACATCCCCAGCCCCAGGATACATTTAAACTATAATTCTATCCTATCCTCATTTCTAAGACAAGATAAAAATAAATCTTTGCCATATGGTTAAACAAACATTTGCCTATAAAATTCATTTTTAATTGTAATCATCATCATTGTTTTATCCTTAACAATCAGTTTTTAAATCACAAATACTGAGTTTCAAATAAGGACACAGAAAATAAATTTCTATACTAGACATAATAAGATGATTATAAATAAGAAATCTTAATACTGAAAATGAGCAAGATTCTTTCCAGTCGTCTTAGTGGCAATATACTTATTTCAATAATTTTGCCACTACTCAAAGTATTTTTTGGAATAACTCCTTTAGAAATGTACAGTACTCAGATTAACTTAAGAGCCATGCAAAAAAAAAACGGAATCTCAATTTGTAGTAGCATGACTTTCTACTTTTGCCTAAAAACAATTTTAATGAGCCTGATTACAACCTTTACAACCACCAGATAAATACAGCCATAAATGGCTTTTAAGTAATTTCTAAATATCAAATTCCCAGTCACAAAAAAGAGAACTCACAATCTCTGACAGAAATCTAAAACAAATTACAGCATTTATGGAATAAATTCTTTAATAAACAAGATAGTATTCACTTAGATAAGAAAATCCAGCACATTGATACTTTTATAAAGGGAGGAATAATTTTAGAGTTCCTGTTCCATGGTCACAGAAAGAACAGTACCTTAATTAAAATCCCACACTCAATTAAGAAGAAAAAGACATCCTATAAAAAAATTAATATCTTGTTTATCTGTCATTGAGGGAGCAAGTAGGTCTTCTCAAAATATATTTTCCAGAACATAAAAGCTTATTATGCTCAAGAAACAGCTTTTAAAAGTCTGTTTTAAATAGAAATCTAACTAAAATACTTCTCCCATTTCAGTGACTTCCTTGAGAGGTCAAAATTAATTTGACCTCTTCTTAGTAACTTGTAAAAGAAATCAGTAGAAAAATCATTTTTTAACAAATAATGATCTTTTTAAAAAAAAACTTCCATCTATTCTCTTTTATAGGCTCAGATCAACAGACTTTGTCAGGAGGGCAAATATCATTTTTCTTATGGTTGTATTAAATTCCCCGAATCTGTCCTCCTATTTTGTTCATTCTTCTAATTAGTTCATTAGAAGTCTAGAAAAGCCGAAAATGTTTTCAAGAGTCAGATATCCTGAGTTCATCATCTAGATCAAAGCACAAAAATTTAAAAGAGATATTCAACAACAAATTCCATTACTATGTGTAATTACAATGCACTAATAAAGAATATTATGGGGAAATAAAAAGAAATTCAAAGACTTTCTCCTTATTGCTTACTACCAGACCACAACTGATCACTAGGTAAAAATTACAAATCTGAAAATGTCAGAAGTTAAAAGTTTTTCTTTTATTATTATTAAAACCAAAAACTATATATAATTTACTACAAAAAGAAATTATTTTCCTATATTCAATCTTATTTAAACATACATCTCATCCAAACTTTCAAATGTGAAAATATAATAAAAGGGAGGATGCTCTCTTTCATTCCTTGGTGACTCACAGAAACTTTCAGTCCAAAGCATTCTTTTAAAACCTGCTGATAACTTACCAAGAACTTCTTTAGCTTTTTAAACAAAAAGTAATAAAACACCTTTGCAAACAATGTAAACACATTGTATCTTGAAAGCAATTAAATAGGAGAAGAAGGTAAAAACAGAAGAGGAAAAAAAATTAAAGGTAAATTTTATTCTCATTTGATATATGAAACTGACTACAAGCAATCCTTGACTTATACAATTTCAACTTCCAGTAATTCACATTTTCAATTTAACCAATTATACCCTATTTCTAGGGTACTGTTTTTCAGACTTCTAGCTGCTACCCATTTGTGGTATGTGAAGTTAATCAGCATTTTTTTTTTAATGAAATAGAATGAAACTGAATAGAAAATATCACAAATCATCAAAACTGTAATGGTAAGTATAATTTCATATAACTGGTTTGTGTGTAGTATGACATGATAGAAAATGTATTTCTTAATATAAGTCAAATTTTTTTAAAAATGGGGTAAGGGAACACTGACTTAGGATAATAAGCCCCAAGCTTATAGCAGACCTATGAGTTTCAAAATTATATCCCTTCTTGGAGTGCTCAATGCAGAGCCCCCTGGGGTTCTCTGTATACTTCCTTTTCCCTAGGAATTTCCAGCTCAACACAAGCAAAGGCTCTTTCCAAGGTGAACCCAAACCGTGAACCCAATCTGCAAGGGCCTGGGAGGTAGAAAGGAGCAGCTCTAAGTGGAGCAAAGAGAAGATATAAGTACGAATGCCAAAGAGAGACTATCTCACAATCAAAAAGGAGAAAGTGATTTTCTTCATATTCTTTGAAAGCAATTCCTAAGAAAGAGTTCCAAAAATATTTAGAATAATGGCAGCTTCAACAGGGAAGTATACAGAGTTCCTGAGACTGTTTAGATGAGTAATATCAATTTGAATGTATGAACTTTGATACAGAGGATTTAGTCTGGTGTTTTTAAATGTAGTCTCATTATATCATGTTCCTACCTCAGATTCAGACTGTTAAAATCACTCAGAGAAAAGGTCGGAACATTTCACTAGTGAAAAATGTCATCAGCTCTCATAAAACAAAGATGTAGGACTAAACACCTAAGACTTTCAATTTTAAAATAAATAAGGCTCAATATTTTTGAATTTGGGCAAAAATCAAGGAAAAACTTTAAAGCAACTTGACAAAGTGGAGAAAATTTGGTGAGAGAGCAAAAAAGGAAATCTCCAGGCATACAAGTTTTCAAAGACAGTAGGGCCTTTGAAACACCAGGGTGACACTGATAATGTAAATGCAGAAATACCAATTGTTACACTTAGGCTTAAGGTAACCACAGAAATTCTCAAGAACAAGTAAGGGGTGGTGGGGTGGGGGGCAACAAAGTAGACCACCTGGGTTGGTCTCAACAAATAATTTAGGTCTATATAAGGTTTCCTTCAAAACTCTGCCTAAAAGAGCACGACTGAATTCTTCACTTTGAGGGAAAAAAAAAGGGTTCTTCCTTTTTCTACAATAAAAAGATAATGGTAATAAAGTTTAAAAAAAAAACTTAAAAATCCTACATTCAATAATGTTTCACCAAAATATAATTTTATGCTAGGTTATTCTGTTATTATATTTTATGCAATCTTTAAAAAGTTTTATATTATGTAATATAACATACAGTTAAAATATGATTGCAAAAATGTGTGCATCATGTCATTGATCAAAATGTAATCTCGTACAGGTTAAGTATACTTTATTGAAAATAGTCAAGACCAAATGTTTCTGGTTTTGAAGTTTTTTAAAAATTAGGGTACCTCCAGGCACTTTATTGATTGCACACTTAAAAATCTAAAAGCAGAAATGATCCAAAATCCAAAAATTTTTGAGCACCATGCCTAAAACGTTCTGGATTTCAGAGCATTTTGGATTTTACAACCTCTGCAACCTTATTTCTAAAGAAAATATATTAAAAATTAGATGTTGTAGAGATCTTCCCCCCAAAAAAGCAACCCTCAGTAAGTGCAAGGAATGCTCGTATTTTTCAAATGTGTATTTCACAGATCATTTTAAAAGTAAGTTGAGATGAAAAAATAAAGGAAGGAAGAAATATAGAGTAATAAAAATGTTTAAACAAGATACCTCTTCCTCCTCCCCCTGGAAGCAAAGGTGAGAGTCTGAGTGGACCCTCCAACAAAGTTGGAGGAGAGAGAAAAGCTCTCGTTTCGGATGAAGGTCGACCCAATGGTGAGGCACCATATGGGGAATGCTCTGGAATAATTAAAACAACATATTTAAATTCATAGCTTCAGTTAGCTACACTATAAAGTTAGATTGCCATATCAACCATTACCATCAGGTTCTCCTATTGCAAACTTAAGTTTAATCCATTGCCTTTGGTTTTGCTAAAATTAAATATGAAGGACTGTTGGTTTTAGGACTGAATTAAATATGAAGTCTGTTGGTTTTATTTTGTTTTGTTTTTGCAGTGCTGGGATGAAACCTGGGGCCTTATGTGTGCTAAATAGAAGATCTACCACTAAGCTACATCCCCAGCCCTGAATTCTCATATTTTTACAGACATTTCAGTCAATAAAAATATCATCCTATAAGTGATTAATACACTTAAATAATCATACAGTTTAAGCAAAGGATACTGGTGATATTTTGGAATTATAGGAAGATTTGGGAGACATTAAGTTTTTTGGTTTGGTTTAATTTTTCATTTAGCAATAATCTTGCTTGGATAAACCTCATTGGGTACAATACCAACACTGTGCAAAGCAGTTTTGTTTTGGTATTATTGCAATATGTTTCCAGATAATTCAGCTGCAGCTGAGGGTTACAACATGGTAGCATTCACGTTAAATTAGGGCCACATAGGCTATGTTGGGTCATAAAATGTTGAATAAAGCTCAGATTCTGAAATGTAGAAAACTTATAAAACACTCTGAAGCATCAGAAATTATTTCTGATTCTGACCAGTAAAAATCAGGTTATGTACAGTATTCATCAAATAGGTCACTTTCTCTACAATCCATGTAACCAACAGCATTAACATTTTATAAACAACCACTCTCAAGTAATGGTTATGCTTCCAGAGGTCAAAAATCAACATCAAAAAAGAAACAAATATCACCAAAAATAACATTTTTTTAAAAGCAGGGTAAATTCTATAAGGTGCAGCTATTATAATACTCAAACCAGTCACAACAACAACAACAAAAAAAAAAAAAATCAAAGCATTATTTACCCTCCCTGAGACTTCTACACTGGATTTAGACAAAAAATTCCTTCTATAAAGTTCCCCCACAACTGTTACTACTTTAAATTTTTAATAGTCTGATATTTTTAAAATGTAGAAATAGACTTTCACTTTAATTAAAGATGACTCTCAAAAGTGATTTTTTATAATTTCCCAAAGATTATTAAAATGAGATTCTATCTATAAAGATTGGTTTATTTTCACTGTAACAGGAGCTTAATTAAACTAAAATTATTTTGAAAAATTTAAACGATTTGAAATAGTTTGTTATCATTGAGTATGCTAATTCAATGATGAATGAATGGACAGAAATAGTAAATACATCTTACAAAGAATTGGGGATAATTAAATTAATCAAAACTAAGATTAAGTTTTCCCCACTTTTTAATTTAATACTTTTAAAAAATTAAAAAACAAACATTTTTATTCTCATTTCTATAATTCAAGAAAATTTCTAAGTACAGTTAACATGTAAACAGTCACTATGTTATTCTACTGAAGTACTTCTAATTCATTCATTCGCCCAAAAAATAGTTAGTGAGTACCTTAATAATACCAAGCTCTTGGCTTTTCAAAGAATTCACAGTACTAAAAATATTTTATCTTACAAAATTCTACTAAGAAAGGGACGTAGAAATAATCTTCATTACTACTAGCAAAACAAAACCTAGAGGTGTGGAGTTCATAAGAGAATATAGAATAGAATCTGGCTCTAAAATCTAAAATATTTATAAATAATAGTAGTAATTTATGCTATTACAAACTATATATGCAATATATATGTAATCTATATATATATTATGTATTTTAAATGAGGGGTTAAAAAAAAAGGACTACCTCTGCCAAATGCTGTATTTGGAACATCAAGTGCATAAGGATCTTTTTCTAAAAGTTCAAATTTAAACTCTGTTTCAGTTAATCTGTAAATAAAGAACAAACATCTCTAAGTTAAGATGGCCAAGAGAAGCACCCACATTTCAAAAAAATGCCACTAACAAATAAAGCTACTCTTACATCTCCATATCTGTATAGAGGAATAGGTCCTCAAAAATTATTCTGACCAAAACACCTTTCTCTCTCTCTCAATACTTATTTTAGGGTAACCAGTTTCTTGTTGCCTAAGGATAGTGATGCTTTGTTAATGTTTGGAATTGTTCCATTTTTTTTCCTCAAAACTAAACTTCAATGAAAAGTGTATACAGAATCCAAATTTTTCAAATGGAAAACCCCCAAGGTCAATAAGTTCATCATTTTAACTAATATAACTGAGGGTAGGAGTTTAAATGATTTGAGTTTAAATTAAGAAAATGCAGGATTAAAACCCAGCATTACTGGCTCTTCGTTATATATGCTTTCCATGGTAATGTAACTCATGATTTCAATATAACATAAAACTAGAAATCCCATTAACCCTTCTCACTCTTTTATACTTCAACTTTTTATCTTAAAGATCTAATATTTTAAAGAAATCTTATTTCTAGTTTTTAACCATCAGAACTGAAATAAAATATTTAATTCTTTGGCTTTAATTTCTGAGAGTTGAAAATATGAGTAAGAAGACTGAAACTAATATTCAACAGTGTCAATAGTATAGTCTGGCAAGAAATTAGAACACTCTAAGAAGACTGATACCAGCCTCAGAGAAAAGCATTTACTCTTCCCTCTGCTACATACTTTTATTCTCCCCTTCATTTTATTATTATACAATAATGTCACCTAATACAATGAAACCAGGAGACAAAAGAGACAACAAACACTTATTCTCTCTACTTAACCATAAAGAAATGCTGATACTATCAACATTACAATGTCAGAGATTCACCTTTTTCTTTTCTTCCCTTTTTACCTCACTCCACATATTCTGGTTTACCAAAAAAAACAAAAAACAAAAAACAAATTTTTAAGTTACACTTAGAATCTATAAACAGTTTTCCCCAAGTACTGCTTCAATGACCTTACTAAAACAAGCATTTCAAACAATAACAAACAAACAAACAAGCAAACAAGCAAACAAAAACTAGTTACACCTAATAAAATTAATAGATATTCCATTACAGGATATGCTGAATCCATTGCAAGTTTTCTTATTTTTCCTTTAAAAAGTATTAATTAATAAAATAACTAACAATAAAAATAATAACTAATTTTAAGTTTTTAAAGTGTTCCCACCAAAATACTTACTTTTGTCTGTTGTGAGCATTTTCTTTCTTTAAATCATTAAGGTTTCTTTCAGCTGCCCGAGCTGCCAACTTAAAGAAGTTAATACATATTAAAAATACATTAATACAAACTTCATGAAAGAATAGCATAAGTATCACAATAATGGCATAGAAATATCTCAATCTCTTAAACAAGTATCCATTTCAATAAACTCAAGGTAAAACATCTTAAATTTAGGGAATTATTTAAAAAGGGAATGTGTTTCATGTAAGCAGAAGACATGAACCTAAGGCAGGAGTTTAATTGTGTACTTGCTAATAAGTGTAACTACCTATATGTGAAATCATGGATTAGCATTATTTGGTGATGTAAATATCCAAATTACAGGGTAAGAATCATATAAACACACAAAAGCTTAGGGCAAAGGCAATGGAGACACAGGGTCACTAGGCATGGCAGCATTGTCTATCGAATAAGACAAGCATCTCTGAGGAAAAAAAATTACTGTGATTCAGTGAACTACAAAGATCTAAAATAGTTTCATAGCATGACAGTTCAGGTCTTTTTTTTAAATGGCTGAATATAATCAATGCACACTGCACATCTGTTAAGCATTGTACAGATGGCATTCTTCTAAGTCTTTTACATTTGTTTAATGATTTTTAACTTACTAAGAGGTTAAAAATCAAATATATAAATAACAGAGTTTATGATAAATATCAAGAACATGCAGTGTTCTCAAATAAATGTGGACAAACGCTAAACATGTATAGTATACTGCATGTTTCTCCATCATTCTGTGGACTCTGAAAATTATTTTTTTTTATTTGTTTTAATTAGTTACACATGACAGTACAATGACCTTGACATATCATACATTTGAATCAGATGGGATATAATTTCTCATTTTTCTGAGTATACAGGTTGTAGAATCACATTCGTCATGCAGTCTCATATACACACACAGTAATAATAATATCTGTTTCATTCTACTACCCTTCCTATCTCCCCATCCCCTCCCCTCCCCTCCCATCACTTCTCTCTACCTAATCTAGGGTAACGCTATTTTTTTTTTCCTCACATCTTTTTTTTTTTACTTTTTTTTATTATTAGTTGTTCAAAACATTATAAAGCTCTTGACATATCATATTTTATACATTTGATTCAAGCGGATTATGAACTCCCATTTTTACCCCGTATACATATTGCAGATTCACATCAGTTACACATCCACTTTTTTACATACTGCCATACTAGTATATGTTGTATTCTGCTGCCTTTCCTAACCTCTACTATCCCACCTCCCCTCCCATCTTCTCTCTCTACCCCATCTAGCCAATCCCTAAACAACAAATGCCAAATGTCATCTTTGATATAAGGAGAGCAACTAAGAACAGAGCAGGGAGGAAGAGCATGAGAAGAAGATCACCATTAAACAGGGACCAGAGCGGGGAGGGAAAGGGAGAGAGAAGGGAAATTGCATGGTAAAGGAAGGAGACCCTCATTGTTATACAAAATTACATATAAGAGGAAGTGACTCTGAAAATTAGATTAAACAATTTCGGAACACTGAACTGACGGTTGGACTGATCATACAAAGGTAGAGAAATTAACAGTCTATAACAATAATTATTTATAGGTAAAGGGAACAATGCTGTCAAATTTTCTTTCACTTAAAATTGTGAACTACACATTAGAACTCACTTTAACTGGCCAAAGAATAAATTCTGTAAATTTTTTAAAAAATATAGCCTAAAGGGGCTGGGGATGTGGCTCAAGCGGTAGCGCGCTCGCCTGGTATGCGTGCGACCCGGGTTCGATCCTCAGCACCACATACCAACAAAGATGTTGTGTCTGCCGAGAACTGAAAAATAAATATTAAAAATTCTCTCTCTCTCTCTCTCTCTCCTCTCTCACTCTTTAATAAAAAAAAAATATATAGCCTAAATATATTTTATCACTATCAAAAAAGATTCCACATGTAATTTTTTCCAATTAAGTAATTATATAATCAAATTTGTACTAACAATATTACACCAATGGCAATTTTAGTAAAAGTATACCAATTAAGTTAACTATTAACAATGAAGAACCAAAATTACTTATAAATGTTTTTAAGACAATATGACATATCATTAAAAAAATATTTTTTTTTTGGCAATACTGGGAATTAAACCCAGAGGTACACTCTATCACTAAGCCACATCCTCAGCTTTATTTATTTATTTTAGAGACAGGGTCTTGCTAAATTACCTATTTTTCATAATATATCTTTATGTGGATAGCTTATTTCTTAAGAGTTTTTGTGTCTTGTACTTAAAAACTAATATATTAAGAGCGGGACATGGGTGGTACATGCTTATAATCCAAATAACTTGGAGACTAAGGCAGAAGGATAGAAAGTTTGAGGTTGACCTGGGCAACTTAGTGAGACACTTTCTTAAAATAAAAAATAAAAATGGCTGAGAACGTAGAGCAATGGCAGAGTGCTCTTGGACTCAAACTCCAGTAGTGGATGTGGGATTGGGGGGGGGGGGGAGGAGATAGCAAATGATTACAAACTTTTGGAAAGCTTATAGCTTCAAAGATTAGATAAAAGTGTTTCGTGAATGATAAGACATTGATTTAAAACGCTATATTCAAATACTGAATACTTATAATATACAAAGCATTCTATTAGGTACAGCTATCTTAGAAAAAGAAACAATCCCTGACTTATGGAGTTTAACTCTTCTGGTATAAACAAATATAAATGACTACAGCAAATAATAACAAGATACCTGACACAGGACATACAAAAACAAAGAACTACCTGAGATCAAAGGAAAAACAGATTAAATCAAACAGGATGAAGCAAAGAAGTGCTTAGTGAAGAAAGTAATATCTGAAATGATAATCATAAAAAGTAGAAAAAAACTAAAGGTTCATTAAATGACAAAGGTTTTATAAATTATGAAACATTCATAAAAATATATCAATGACATTAAGAAAGCAATTTATAAACAGTAAGATATAATAGGGTTTCTTAATTTCTTCTTTCTTTTTTTAATTCATGCTTTTATGTTTAAATGCATTAAAAGAACAGATAAATGAAAGCAATATTAATTATTACTTCCTTGTACCTCTCCATATGGTCTAAACTTTTAACATAATTTTACAAATGGTGAAATTCATAGAAAATGATTTTTTTAAATACTATATTTTCACTTAATTTAAATGAGTAGTATGTCATCTGAAAGGAATTTGACAAAAGAGCCTTAAGGAAATTTAAAACTTACCCAATTATCATGTGCTTTTTTCTCATGGGAAATAATCTGAAAAAGAAAGTCATTAAAATATTGACAACTTTTTTCTTAAATAAAAACCATTCAGATCTTCCACTATGATTTAGTGCACAACTCAAAATACCTCAGCATCTCAGAAAAGTAAGCAAGCAACATTTTTAAAACAAATTTTTAGGTAAACATGACCTAATCTAGCATACTTTTTAAAATTTATTTGTATTGGTGTATTATGATTACACATAACAATGGACTTCATTATGCCATATTTATACATGCACATAACATAATTTGCTCAATCTCCTTCCCCAGTACCTTCCATTTTCCTCCCCTTCTCTCTCCCCCATCTAATTGCTCTATTCCACTGATCTTCCTTCTATGGTTTTCATTATTATTATTATTAATTAGTGCATCATCATTATATACATATATGATATATTTATATGTATACACAGGATTCATTGTGAAATATATCATACTTTTAAAATGAAAACCAAATAGCAAATATCTCTTTATGTAATAATTAACTATAAGAGTTTCCAGTTAACAGACAACTAATCTGTCTGAATTTGAGAGCCCAAAGCTGATAGATTCTTATTTATGCAACATTCCCAAAGAAGCAGAAAACTTTAAATAAGATTTTTTATCTTAGAATCTTTAGCTCCCTGGAAATGTTCCACAGCTACACACAATACCTCAAGGGAGGTATGCAACTGGCCAAGTAATTATATTCCTGTATCAATTCAAACAAATCAGAATGATTTTAATTATATAAACACAAACACATGCACAGAGACACATATAGACACACATTATTACATACATACATACATACATACATACATACATACATACATACATACCTGCCCCTGATAAGAATGAATGGTTCTCTCCAATTCTTCCTCAAGATCTTTGGCTCTCTTTCTACAAGAAACAAATAATTATTTTACTACAGTATTAATGTAGAAGAAATGAGAGCACAAACTCTCTACTAAAAAATATTAAAACACCCAGACTGCTCTATTTTGTGTAAAACACTTCCAGAACTCCACATTAAGAAATAATCACCTTTAAGAGATTCTAAAGTATATTTTTTCCTGATATAATTTTAACCTTAATTAAGCTTTAAGGGTACTACTCTTTGGGTTTATCCAAAGCAAAAGTCATACAAAGATTTATACAGTTTATTGGTTGTTTTATTTTCAAGAACCATGATCCTGGGAGATTGATTCAGATGTCTATAATCTTAATAGAACTCTAGGAAATTAACCACCTTTGCACAGTAGAATGCTACTTCTGTCTTTATAAGACTAATAAGGAAATTCCTTCTTTGGGTAAAACCCAAGCCTACTCTTCTTTTTTTTTTTTTTTTTTTTTAAAGGGAGAGTGAGAGAGGGAGAGAGAGAAAGAGAGAGAATTTTAATATTTATTTTTTAGTTATCGGCAGACACAACATCCTTGTCTGTATGTGGTGCTGAGGATCGAACCCGGGCCGCACGCATGCCAGGCGAGCGCGCTACCGCTTGAGCCACATCCCCAGCCCAAGCCTACTCTTCTTAAGGGACAATGAAATATCACAACTATTTGGAATAGTTGATACCTTCCCTCTTTTTTCCTCTATGTTTTCTATTATTTCCTTGGATCAGTGAGGACTGAACCAAGTTAACAACTAGATGTTTAGTCTTACACACACTTATTCAATACACTAATTGTGTTTGTTTCTTTTTGAGCATGCTTGCTGAATTCAATAATATTGTATATATTGTTCCCCACTTGAACCAAAGAAAATCTTAAAACTAATGTCTATCCATAAATTTCTTCAAATAACAGAATACAGGATTTGCCCATATTCAAATGTGAGATTTTAAAATCACACACCCTGAAAAGAAAATATTTTTCCTTCCTTTTACATTTTTTGTATAAATGAATAATAGCAATAAATCTGAATAAAAAGGTAATAAAGTAAAATTTTATCATTTATTTTTGGTTGTTTTGGTATTTTTTTCTAACACTGAATTTTTAGATACCCTCCCCACCTCAAAGAGTATTTTAATACCTATAGGTCTCCAGTTCTTCAGCTGCATGGCTGATCTTTTCATCCACTTTGGAAAGCTTCTCCTCTTTCTCTAACCGGTAATTTTCCTCTACTGTTAATTTCCTTAAAACAAAATGTTTTATTTCTTTTAATACATGTCATATAATAATCAATTACAATTACATATTTTTTATTATATCAATTTCCATAAAGCAATTTCCACAATACCATTACAGTATAAATATTTCTTGAGTGAAATTAAATCATATAAACTGAAAACTGTATTGTGTCTTATATTGTAGTACTAACAATAGTCTCAGGAGTTTCTACATTAATTTATTATAAACGTAAATTACCCAAGATAAATATTAAAAACATTTTTAACCATTGTGACTATGTGTCAGTTATCTGCCTTCATGAATAATATATACACATTTGTTAGATAAAGAGGCACCAACTAATAAACTGTGTTTTAGTAACTTCCTAATATGGTGGTTAAATTACATAGTAGGTTTCTAGACCAAATTGATAATAGTAATGATAATAAATAATATTAGTAGTAATACTAGTTCTACTTAGTACTCTTAGTTCTTTAATACTGATATAATAGATAACTTATTAAGCCATTAGTATGAACTAGAAACTTCTTAGGCCTTTATTAATTACTACCCTTCAGCTCTACAAGAAGGGTATTATCGTTATTTCTATTTTACATAAATGAAAATGAAGCACAGAAAAACTAAATACAATCATGTCTTACTTAACAGTAGGGATACATCCTGAGAAATGCCTCATTAGGCAATTTATCACTATGTTTACATTAGAATATACTTGTGGGCCGGGGTTGTGGCTCAGTGGTAGAGCACTTGTCTAGCATGCATGAGGCACTGGTTCGATCCTCAGCACCACATAAAAATAAAATAAAGCTACTGTGCCGACCTAAAACTAAAATAAATAAATAAATATTTTTAAAAAAAAGAATATACTTGTATAAACTAGGAACTCTAACATATCAGAAAGTGACAAAAATCTTATGAGAAGCTAGGATTGTGGCTCAGTGGTAGAGCACTTGCCTCACATGTGTGAGGCACTGGGTTCAATTCTCAGCACCACATATAAATAAATGAATAAAATAAAGGTCCATCAACAACTAAAAAAATATTTTTTTTCAAAAATCTTATGAGACCACTTACCATACATATAGTTCAACCACAACATGTCATTATATGGCATGTCACTTTAATAGGGCTCAAAGCTCCCAAGTAGTAACTCTTTATAATACATTATCCATATTGTTTTATATACTATCATTAATAACATCAGTCTCTCAAGAAATATTTATTGAGCCAGGTACAGTGGTACATGTCCCAAATCCCAGCAACTCAGGAGACTGAGGCAGGAGGATCACAAGTTCAAGGCCAATGTGAGCAATTTAGCAAGGTCCTAAGCAACTTAGTGAGACCCTGTCTCAAAATAAAAAATTAAAAAAGGCTAGGATGTAGCTCAACAGTAAGATACCCCCTGGGCTCGATCCATGGCACCAAAAAAAAAGAAAGTAATATGTATTGAATCCTATAGGAAAACACATATGGAATCCTCTGTGGGTATCTTCTTCTCCTTTATGAACTTCTAGAAATACTACAGAGCACAAGTAAATGTTTTATATTCTACACACTAAATACCTATTGCTTAGAAAGCACTCCCCTAAGCCTCTAGGCAAATGACACTGCCATTTACTTTAAAAAAAAAAAAAAAAGGAACACTTGGACAGGAACAATTTACATAAGAGAAAGGTATATTTTACATATATCAGAGGAAATGGTCATTCTTTTATTATGTGTGTGGTGCTGGGTATTGAACCCAGATCCTTGTGAATGCAAGGCAAGCACTCTTCCAACTGAGCTATATCCCCAGCCCTTGCATATATCAGAGAGGCAATCAAGAGCATTCAATCAGATTCCCTGGCCTGGCCTGCCAGGATTAGAAATTTTAAGGCAATAATGTGTTGACTATTTACTGTAAGTTACAAGAGGACTTTGTGAACTAGCTTGGAAGTTCCAACATCATTTATATTTTCCTCCTTGAAGAAAAAATGCTTCAAGATCAAATAATTTTCTTTAAAAGGAACTTATGAAATATAATCCAGTCATAAACTGAGAAATTTCAATGATTATAGATCTTAAATATATTACATAATACTTTTAAAGCTATTATACTTGTTATCAAATAATTTTTATTACCTATGGAGTTTCATTTCATTTTCTTGATATAGTTCAGTCATTACTTTAAGTTTCTGCTGAAGCTTCTGATTCTCACTTTCAAACTGTGTATATTCTGACTGCAAAGATGCTTGCTCAGTCTGAAGATTTTTAATATGTTCTAAAGAAATTTTTGAAAAGTTGTAATTAAAGGAGTACAGATTTTGAGTTATACAAAAACATTTCAGAAATATAAAATTATTAAAAATAATAAACTCAATCTTAAACTCTCTTCAACAACAAAATCTGTAAGGTATTCTATATACCTGAATTCTTTTTACTACTTCAATTAAAAAGCCAAATACATTGTTTCAATTTTTTTAATTATTATTATTTATAAGATTCCCAAAACATTCAACATTCTAATTCCAGCAATCAATTTTCAACCTGGAAGCTAAAAGCCAGTGAATTCTTAGGAAGACTGTAAAGGTGAGTGTTTTAAAGGCAGATAATTTAGTTTAATATTCTCTACTTTCACATGATAAATGGACTGATTTTACTAAATGAAAACTTTATTTCTCAATAATATTAAGTTCTATCCAGCCCTTTTTTCTAAGCCAATTTTGGACATGCATCACAAGTGAAAATTAAGGATCTTCTCATAACAAATACACAAATGTCTTCTAACTTAAATGAGAAAAAAATTAAAGAGAAAAATACCAACTTTATCATTGTTTCAACTGCGAAATTACCTGAGTCATCTACAAAAATGAAAATTAATAATTTTAAATAATTATGAATTATTTCTAAGTAGTATACCAACTGCTTTTTAAAACCTCATTTATCTTCAATAATTACCTCAACTCTAAACTCTATAATTCAGGTACCACTATAATAATCTCAATTCTGAACTCTGTTAAGGTTAAGGTATCATTTCCCAAAGACTGTGTATGAATCACAACCATGAGTCTTACTATAAAGAAAAAAACTCAGTGTGCTTCAAGAGTGTGGTTTCAAAATCATATTAACAATAATGAAAATGCTATAATTACATGTAATTATATACAACTATTCTAAAACACCCATTAAGTAAATATATACACCAAAAGAATAGTTTAAGTAAATATGTTAACATTAAATGATTAAGTGCTTAGAAAACTGTGTACATCTGTATTTCTGGAGAAATTTTTAAATCTACATCAGAAAAATATTTGATCTAGGCTTTAAGCCATTGCTAAGAAAAGTCACTTAACAAAGAAATCTGTGTTGAGTGTTCTTGCAACTAAAACTGAATTTTACCTATTATTTAAAAACAAAGCCAAACACTTTAAACAACACTTAAATCTTTATTATACTTTTGTACTTAGCTATTTTGTTTTAAATTTTTATAGCTTAAAAGGACACTGTAAATGACTACCAAAAAAAGAGAGAGATGGGTAAACCATTTAAAGAAAACATTTATACTATAAGTAGAATATCAGTATCAAAAATTTTTTTCAAAACCCATTAAAAAAGAAATTTAGATTTGGAAAAAAAGTACAAACAGATAGATTCTCTAATATTCATTTGAGAAAAAAATTAAAGATTTGTTAAGAAATTATATGAAGAGGGAAGTTTTCAACATGGTAGAACAGAGAAGGTCACTTTCCTGGCTGCTCTATAGTGTGAAATGAAGAAAGCAGATGGGCAGCTTCTTAGCAAAGGTGGGTAAACAAAAAAGAAAGGAGGCTGGGTTTGTAATCCCAGATTCTTGGGAAGCTGAGGCAGGAGGATCACAAGTTCAAAACCAGCCTCAACAAAAGTGAGGCACTAAGCAATTCATTGAGACCCTATCTCTAGATAAAATGCAAAATAGGGCTTGGGGATGTGGCTCAGTGGTTGAGTGCCTTAGTTCAATCCCTGGTACTCCGCCACAAAAAAAAAGAAAAAGAAAAAAGAAAGAGAAAATGGGGGACTTTCCTGGAATTTAATACTGGACATTCAAAGCAGATCAGGGACTCATAAGGTTGGATATAATAAAATAAAGAAGAAATCCCCAGTGCCACAGCTTCTGCTAAAGCCAGAGTCACCAGCCAGAGTGGTCCTTCCATGAACAAAACGGGAGGGAGATAAAGGGAATTAAAAGAATCTGCATTTTTAGGAGGCCAGAGGCATGTCTGGGTACAGTTTAGGGATCAAAGACACTGCCAGATTGAACACAGACACACTGCACAATTCCTAGGGCAGGAAAGAAGCCCCACCTTTCCAAGCTGTATGCAGAGGACAGAGGGAGGAACCATTTTGCAGCCAGCGTGAGGGCCAGCAGCTAAAGGAGCCAATTCCTGGCAAACCCAAGTCTAGCCTGAAATACAGGTCTGGCAAACCCACACTGCATGATATCAAGAGTGTGCCTAAATGACCAAGAAAAAATCAAACGTGGAAAGAAGTTTACACAGGGGAAAACTGAGCACAGAAACCCAGCCAGCAGGTTCTCTCCTTACTTTTCCAAAAGAGCTACTTGTAGGACGTCAAGCTAGGAGAGATGCCCCTGTCTAGGAATTCAAAAGGATGGGGGTGGGAGAGATTGAGTTTGGAGACTGAAACCAAGATCAGAAAATGGTGATCTAGGTGACACTAGACTAAGAATTGGCTCTTCCACATAAGTGAAACCCAGGGAAGATAACTGGGGAGCAGTCTTCTAATGTGGACCAGTAATTGCTGGGCAATGGAGGAGTGTGGATTTAAAATCTCCAGACCAACTGACACACAGCAAAGAGCCTGAGACCTTTGCCTATAGGTTTGCCTAGAGATTACATCTTTCACCCTAGCAACCCCACCCTGAGAGTTGAGCAACATCATACTCCAGATGACCCCACCTAACACTGCTGAGAATGAAAGCTGAGACTCTTGAACTCCAATTGAAACAATTCTTTAACTTTTCATCAAGATTATTTTTTTTCCTTTTCTCTTTTCACTATTTGATTGTGACCTTAATGGTTCATGGGCATTTATACATACTCATATTTGTTTTGTTTTTCACATTCCTGGCATTTCTTAAGCCAGTTATTTTTCATCAATCAGTTTTTCAAGGAAGGGCTAGGATATTTGTAATCAATATATATATTTGTAATCAAATCAATATATTTCCATTTGTTTTGTATTATTTTATCTTTTAATTTTTTAAATTTTTACTTTATATATTTTATTCTCTCACGTATTTTTTTTCCTGGATTCTTTCTCTCTTTTCTTCCGCTAACAGTCAATCTTTATTGTTGTTTCACTCTTCCTTTCAATTTTTACTTGTATCTTCTCTGTTCTTCCCTCATAATCATCACATCCTGCATCACTTCTGTTCTCTCCCTGTCCACCATTTAAAATTGTAAACCCTTTTGCAAACTTACTACCTTTATTATATGTAATAACTGATCATATCATTTCTGTTTATTGTGACAATTAACATTATAGACATCATAGAAGGAACTATTAGGCTTAATGCTGCATATTGCTTCAATTGGTTGTTGTTAACTATGTCTTCCCCCCTAAATGGTGAGGTACTATAAAACCTTCAGGGGCAATATAAGTACACAGGGTATAATCTCTACTGCCCCAGATTCATAGTGTTCGATGGGTAGACACACAAACAACAAGAAAAAGCAAAGAAACAAATCGACCCAAATCAAACAAGATATTTCAATAACAATCCATCAACACCACAGCAGAAGAAATGTCAGAGGAGTTTAGAATGATCATAGTTAAACTGATTTGCAAGGTAAAGGATGATGTAAGGAGTGAAATCAGAAAGAAAATGAAGGAAGTGAAAGATCACTTCAATAACAAGATAGAGAGTCTTAAAAAAAAAATCAAGCAGAAATCCTTGAAATGAAAGAATCAATAAACCAAATTTAAAATTCAATGGAAAGTATTAGCAACAGACTAGACCACTTGGAAGGCAGAGTTCCAGGCAATGAAAACAAAACATATGATCTTGAAAATAAATTGGACCATGAAGAAAAGATGTTAAGAGACCATTAACAGAATTTCCAAAACATATAGGATAGTATGAAAAGACCAAATTTAATATTTATCGGGATAGATGAAGTCTCAATGATACAAATCAAAGGAATGCACAATCTTTTCAATGAAATAATATCAAAAAACTTCCCAAACCTAAAAAACGAAATGAAAAGAAATTAAAGGGATACGAATAGGAAAAGAAGAACTCAAACTATCCCTATTTACCAATGATATAATGAAGACCCAAAAAACTCCACCAGAAAACTTCTGGAACTCATAAATGCATTCAACAAAGTAGCAGAATATAAAATTAACACTCATAAATCAATTGCATTCCTGTACATCAGTTATGAATCAACTGAGAATTTAGAAAAACTATCCCATTTACAATAGCCTCAAAAAAACATAAAATACTTGGGAATCAATCTAACAAAAGAGGTAAAAGACCCTATGCAATGAAAACTAGAAAACACTAAAGAAATCAAAGAACACCTTAAAAAATTGAAAAATCTCTCATGCTCCTGAATAGGCAGAATTAATATTGACAAAATGGTAATACTACCAAAAGTGCTATACAGATTTAAAGCAATTCCTATTAAAATTACAATGAAATTCTTCATAGAAACAGAAAATTCATTTGGAAAAATAGGAGGTCCAAAATAACCAAAGGAAAGTAAAGCAGGAGGCATCACAATACTAGATCTTAAATTATACTACAGAGCTATACTAACAAAAACAGCATGGCATTGGCACCAAAACAGACTGGTAGACCAATGGTACACAATAGAGGACACAGAGACTAACCCACAAAATTAAAATTATCTTATATTAGACAAAAGTGCCAAGAACATGCATTGGAGAAAAAGACAGCATCTTCAACAAATTGTGCTGGAAAAACTGGAAATCCATATGCAACAAAATGAAATTAAACCCCTATCTCTCACCATGCACAAAACTCAAGGACCTAGGAATTAAACCAGAGACCTTGCGTCTAATAGAAAAAAAAGTAGGCCCTAATTTTCATAATGTGGGATTAGGCCCCAACTTCCTTAGTAAGATTCCTATAGCAAAAGAATTAAAATCAAGAATCAATAAATGGGATGGAATCAAATTAAAGTTTCTTCTCAGCAAAAGAAACAATCTGTGAGGTGAACAGAGAGCCTATTCTCTGGGAGCAAATTTTTACCCCTCACACATCAGAGCACTAATCTCTAGGGTATATAAAGAACTCAAAAAAACTAAACACGAAAAAAAAAACAAATAACCCAATCAATAAATGGGCCAAGGACCTGAATAAACACTTCACAGAAGATGATATACAATCAAACAACAAATATATGAAAAAAAATGTTCATCATCGCTAGCAATTAGAGAAATGCAAATCAAAACTACTTTAAGATTTCATCTCACTCCTGTCAGAATGGCAGCTATTATAAAAACAAACAACAATAAGTGTTGGTGAGAATGTGAGGAAAAGGTACACTCTTACATTGCTGGTGGGACTGCAAACTGGTGCAGCCAACATGGAAAGCAGTATGGAGATTCCTTGAAAAACTGGAAATGGAACCACCATTTGACCCAGCTATCCCTCTATTCAGTCTATACCCAAAGGTCTTAAAAACAGCAACTATAGGGACACAGCTACATCAATGTTTATAGCAGCACAATTTACAATAGCTAAACTGTGGAACCAACACAGATGCCCTTCAGTAGATGAATGGATAAAAAATATATGGCATATATACACAATGGAATATTACTCATCAATAAAAGAGAATAAAATCATGGCATTTGCAGATAAATGGATGGAGTAAGAGTAAATAATGCTAACTGAAGTCAGCCAATCCCAAAAAAACAAATACCGAATGTTTTCTCTAATGTAAGGAGACTGATTTCATAGTGAAGTAAGGAGTTGTGAGGGGAATGGGAAAAAATAAGGAGAGAAATGAATTACAGTAGATGGGGTAGAGAGAGAAGATGGGAGGGGAGGGGAGGGGGGATAGTAGAGGATAGGAAAGGTAGCAGAATACAACAGTTACTATTATGGCATTATGTAAAAATGTGGATGTGTAACCGATGTGATTCTGCAATCTTTGTAATGTTTTGAATAATCAATAAAAAAAAAAAAAAAGATAACAAGCCACTGTTATCTTTCACCTGGGCTTTTTGCCACACATCTCCTGTTTCCCACTCTTGGCCCATCGCCACCTATTCTCTGCATTGGTAAGAATGACATTCTTTAAAATGCAGGGCATCACTCTCATTTGTTTCAGATATCCACCTGACTATCTCTTGATAAAAGAGGCCTTATCTTCTTCTATAGCCCATCCTTCCTTCCCCCTTACCATGCATTATTTTGTTTTATCACCTGAAATGTCATATATTGCTTTGTTTATGCTTTATGCCTGTCTTTCCACTCAATAATTTAATTTCATGAGGGCAAAAAAAAAAAAATAGTGAAGTAAGGAGGGGGAGAATGGGAAGAACAGACAAACTCTAGATACGGCAGAAGGTTGAGAGGGGAACAGAGGGGGCAGGGGGTTAGCAATGATGGAATGTGAAGGACATCATTATTGAAATAAAATGTATGAAGATATGAATTGGTACGAATATGCTTTATATATATAACCAGAGATATAAAAAACTGTAATCTGTATGTGTAATATGAGTTGTAATGCATTCCATTGTCATTTATTTTTAAAAAATCAATAAAAAATTTAAAATAAATAAACATATGGTAATTTTTTGATTTTTTTACAAAATGAGATGCTAACTTAATCTTTTTTCGAACACAACTAAAAGAACTTGTTCACTTTTTTAAAATACAAATACCATCAACAAAATAAGTAGAAAGGTATTTTCTATAAGGGAATGTATTAAAAACTGTTAAGTATATAGCTTACTTACCTATAAGGTCTTCCTTTGTTTTATCTACTTCAGATAATTGAGTATAAATTTGATTTCTTTCTCCTTCTAAGGTTTTTAAGGAGGCATTTAACTTTAAAGAATAAAAAAAGAAAAAAGCAACATCAGTTATACAACATACACACACACACACACACACACACACACACACACACACACAACCTCAATATGCCACCCACAGCCCTTCTGCAGCTATTTTATCACTTTGATGAAATTATCACTTAGAAATTAACAATGCAGCTTCCATAATAGAAAGCTAGCAAAATCATGAATAGTTCAGTTTTAGGACAAGGATACAGAAAAGCAGTGAATGCTTTTCACTGGATGCTTAAAGAGAGGCCACTTTCATTTTATTTACTTTCAAAACAAAGTTTGATTAAAGCAGTCTTCAAACTACATTACCAAGACTTTATATTCATCATCCAAGACCAGGATACTACTTCTAGGACAGAAAATAGAAGGAATAAACCGGAAGAAACTGAACCTAGCCTTTACTTCTCAAAATAAGATACAGAGCTTTAGGGATAGAAAATAATAAGACCAGAGAAAAAGAATGCACCAAAGGAATTATGAGATAAAATAAACACTTTAAATATATTCCTTCTCTGAAGAAGTAAGTACAGAACTTGAAAACTTTTGTTTTAACAAATTCTAAAAATTAACTATGAATTTCATAAAAAAAAAGAAAAAGAAAATTTTGATCATTTCTTAAATACACTTACATAGGAACAATAAAATGGACTTTTAAAATAGTCACTAAGAACATATGGGTTTAATCTATGTTCTCTCTCTTCTACCATATTCATTATATTTACACATAATATATTACATATTATATATTTGCAAACCTTAGCAGCATAAACCACTTTCTTCAAAGCTCCTTTTGGCTGATTATCTATAGTGAAAAACAAAAACATGATTATTTGGGAGAATAATCTACATAATTAGATTAACTATTGTAGCATAATACTACAATAGACACCCAAATGATTATGTTAGTTCACTCAACTACAGCCCTCCAATACCTCTTCTTGCTACATACAATAAAGAATTTGGTATAAGGCAGAACAACCTTGGACCTGCTCCCAGGAAGCTAAACAATAAAAGCACTGGAAGTACCATATCATTTATGATGTTCTTCAACATTAACTAAAAGAACAGAGGTATAATAAGGATTAAGCATTCACCTTGATACAGATCACAGACTTCCCAACTATTCTTGGATTCCTACAGCACCCAAAATATGAGAACTATAACCCAAATGAAAAATACATTCAATAAGCATGGGTTCTATTAGCAAAATAATTCTTAGATGATAAAGTACAAACAAAAAAAATAGAACTTTATTACAGTCCATCTTATCTGTGGTTGTACTTTCTGTGATTTTCATGGTTTCATAAACAATTACAAAATATTAAATGGAAATTCCTTGAACATACAATTCACAAGTTTTAAGCTGCATGCCATACTGAGTAATATGATAAAATCTCATACTGTCCTACTCCTTTCTGCTTGAGATATGAATCATCTCTTTGTGTAGAGTATTCATGCTGTATATGCTACCTGCTCATTAGTTACTCAGTAGCCATCTCAATACCTGGACAACCTACTACAGAATCACAAGTGAAAGAAACCACCTTCACATAACTTTTACTATGTGAATTATATGAACTTTCATAAATATTCTATTATTGCTAATTGTGTCTCTTACTATGCATAATTTATAAATTAAAAATTCTGTCATAGGGGCTGAGGTTGTGACTCAGAGGTTAGAGCGCTCCCCTACCATGCATGAGGCACTGGGTTCGATCCTTAGCACCAAATAAAAATAAAATAAAGATATTGTGTTCACCTATAACTAAAAAAAATAAATATTTACAAAAAAAAATTCTGTCATAGGCATGTAGGTACAGGAGAAAAAATATATACAGGATTCAGTACTAACTGTTTTCTCAGTCATCTACTGGGGGCTTAAAAAGTTATATACTATGGATAGGGAGGACTATTGTATATATTCATTTTGGAAGTGTAATTTTCTTCCAAAATATTAATAGTATCATGAAAGAAAACTTTTTTAAAAATTACATATTATTCAACAAATTAATTATGCATTAGTAGGTCAGAGAAGAGAAAAGAGAAAAAGAATATATAAGTTAGAACTACCATTGAAGGATGCCAAGCACTATGGAGCACACCTATAATCTCAATGACTTGGGAAGCTGAGGCAGAAGGATGATAAGTTCAAAGACACCTTCAGCAACTTAGGAAGGCCCTGACTCAAAACAAAACACAAAAAGCTCTGGGGATGTGGCTCAGTGGTTAAGCGCCCCTGGGTTCAATCTCTGGTATCCAAAAAACAGAACTACCAGTGGAGCAAACCAAGTAAAGGGTACATGGAATCACTCTGTACTATATCTACAACTTTCTATGGTTCTGATAGACCCAACCTGATCTTTTCTTAAAATTGGGAGCAATCTCACCACAAAGCCATGAAAAGATAATTTCGGCTTTACTATAAATTACTGCAAATTCTGAACCTGTTTGGAATGCCTGCCCGTGCCTTGAACTCACCCATGCCTGGCTCTCTGACCAGAGAGCAGCCTTCTCTGAAACTTTAGTGACACCTCATAAATCTTGGCCTTCCCTGGCCAGACAACTACCCTCTCTGAGGCTCTAATGGTCCTCATAAATTCTGATGTTGGGGCCAGCAACACATTAGTGTGATGCTTGTCAGAGTTCTGTTATCTGTAAACCCCCTTTGTGTAACTTTCTGGGCTATAAAGCTGGGCTGCAGGAAAGCTGCTGCGGCTGTCTTGTTCTCGCTGTTTTGGGAGGGAGAGGTAGCCCGGCCCCGGTCGAAATAATAAGCTTGCTTTAATTTGATTTTAATTGGAGTCAGTGGTCTTTTCTTGCGTCCTGGTCTAACATTTTGGAGTTCCCCAGTGAGATGACCCTGCCTGGCCAGATCACAAGACCAAACTACTGGAAATTCTGAAGCAGGCCTTCGCTCCAGGGCTCCTGGCTGGAGAGCCACTCTAGGGGGTGCGCACCTTGAGAGGTTCCAAGGGTTCCAAGGCCTCGGAGTGAGCCTTCGGTCCCCGGAGCCCTGCAGTGAACTGCCGCACTAAATTATCAGCAAGCACCTGGTGGAGGAGGCCTCCATAGGTAAGTGGCGCCTTTATAACATCTGATATCTGGTTAAGGGAGATCTCTTCTGATGACAGAGAGGTGGCCTGGCGAGGCTCACATATACTCCTGTCTGGGACAGTAACGAGAAATCGTTCTGTCCTCTGTTCTGTTCTGTAGGGAATTCCTCTGGAAGGATAGAGAGGTGCCAACGGGCATGCATGCGCTCCTACCCCGGAGCTTTTGCATTGCTCCTCTGTTTTTCTGTTTCGGCGCCGGGTTTCTGTTTTCTTGTGTTTTGTTCTGTGTTCTATGTTTTTTGTTTGTTTTTGTGCCTTTTGTTGTGTGATTTCTGTGGTAAAAACTTAAGGATATTGGACGTGAAAATGGGTAATAAAGCAAGTTAGCCTGACACCCCTTTGGACTGTGTTTTAAGGAACTGCGATGAACTTTACTCCCCTTTGTTAAGCAGGATGAGAGAAGCCCCTAGCTGGCTGCTGGAGCACACCCACTGCAGAGGGCAATGCCTGCTGGGGATCTAAGAACTGAGTATCTCCCAGGTTAACAAGTGAACCTCCTTTAAAACCCCCTGTCCCTCCAGATCAAGAGAGTCCCCTGTGTTTCTCCTTTGTTAGCAAAGCAATAAACCTCCCTTTTTCTTTTTCTCAAAACCCTGTCCTCATTATTAAATTGGCATTAACTGGCTTCAAGGTCAGGAACAGAACTTTCAGTTACAAATTTTGATACCACCACCCCTCCCCCTAGAACTTTTTTAGAGCTGACTACTGAAATGTTAAGAGGTGGAGCGTGCCTGGGATGGAACCGAACCAGAGGAGCTAATCCTGTAAGTAAAAGGAGGGACTGAGGGACTCCCAGTAGCTGCCGGAAGTTCGGGGAATTCCCTCCTTCCTTCCCTGCACTGTAAGGATTATGCCACCTTTGTCTTCTTAAAAAAAGAGAAAAAGAAAAAGGGGACACTAAATGCAGTAAAGTCGCCATGGAGACCCTTGATTTTACATTTCAGGTTGCCCCTCTGTGAAAACATCTGGTCCCCTTGTGGGGACATCTATGGTGCCACTGGTATAAGAAATTTTTCTCTTATCTGCTCTGTTTTAAAGGTTTCTGTCTGTCAGCCATAGTCTGGAGCTCCTTTCTGTCTGTCTGTCCTGTGTCTTTGTTTCTGGCTCTTTAAGACATGTGCAATAGTGTGTTGATATTATAAATTGTTTCTTGGGAATGATCTTGGCTGAATGTGTGTCTAAAAGATGATGTTTATTGTAACAATCTGGTATCTGAATGGGTTTTTGAAGCATTGTACAATCTTGCAGTTAAAAGTTGGGTTTAGGTAATTGTTTAGTTTATGATTTCAGATAATTCATTTCAGAGAACTTAAATACTTAGGATGGAAAACTAAAGAACTCTACTTCCAAGTTGGCAAGTAACTTCCCAATCATTCAGTTTTTTCACCGATTTTAAATTGGGTAGCCTGGGAAAATGTCACTGTGTGTACCAGTGCATTAATTTGGACAAGGATAGTAAATCATAATATGGTATCTGTTGACAAAACAAGATGTAAAGATATAAAATTT